ACACACACACACACACACACACACACACACACACACACACACACACAAACACACACACACACCGATTGCAGCAAAAATATTCTTTCCATAAAGCCTTAATTAAATTAATAATAAAGATTTGCGTATGCATTCCATATGTTTGTAGCTAAATAAATACGACGTGGCATCAGCAGCAATAGCATCATAAACAAAAGTCAAGGCGTCAACACGCGGCAAATAAATAATATTAATTATTATATCAAAAAATGACCTGGTTTCTGCTGCGCCACATCTGCACGAATTACAAGACGAAAAAAAGAAAAACGTTTAAAGAGAAAATTTTGTGTAATAATATTGGTATTTAATTTTTATGCCCAAACCACCGCAAGACCCTAAAAATTGGCAATTGACGGTAGCTACACCAGAAACGTAATGCTTTTGTCCTTAAAATTTACATATTGTCATAATTTTATATTTAGTAAAAGCATGAACGTGTGTGAATAAAAAAAAAAAAAAAAATTAAAAATTATATATGGGAAGAATGTTAAATCAATTGGAAAATTCTGACCTCGAAGCACTGTTGTATAACCGTTTACTATGTTATCCGCACTACTAACGTAGAAGTCAGTTTAAAAAATCAGCTAATGATTACAAAGAGACCAAATCTTATTATATTCACCTTGAGCTGAATCTTTGTAAGAGAGAGGGAGATATTCATTCCCCTTCGTGGCAGTTAGGTGATTGGTATCATTTTTGTATCAATTTTAAGAATGGTTGTGAAATCTGTTTGTTTTATATCAAAGCTACACTTTTTTAAATATCGTTTATTTAAGTTAAATCGATGGTCATCAAATAGATATATTTTCGCTTTTTATAATCTTTATTCATCTGAATATTTCAATATTTAAGAACAGATGACAAACATAGAGTCAGCGAGCCAAACTTAAATAACTAAATCGACAGACATGGATTTTTCGCTGATTACAAATGAAAGGAGAAAATTGCTATACTCCCGTATATCTGCTCAGTAGGTGAAAGAGCTGAAATTGGTGCGTTCAAAGTTCTAACCAACTAAAATTAAGTCGAGAGAAAAAGTTCATACGCAATTTGAACAAAATTTATGTAATTAAACAAACAAATAAATGTTCTGTAAATTGCGACACTAACGATCGCGTTTCATGAGTTATTTTAATACTCATGTACATCACTCAAGATCACTTTTAAAACTTTGAAAGATTCTACTCTAAAAGACAGCAGATATATATCTGCACTCCGCTCTTTTAAATCAGGCAAAGAACTAATTTTTGAACTTAACGTAAATGGAAAACTTTTCGTCCAAGTTTACTTATATATTGTTATTGTGATTGTTTTTGCGGCAGATGGTGGAAAAATTTTTATTTAACACGTTTCGTTAATTCAAATCGATCAAAAATATGTATACATTTTATACCCTACGCTACTGGTTGTAAAAGAATATGTTAAGCTTGCGCGGATGTTTGCAACGTCCCAAAGGATCTGACGTAGACACACCTTTTATTATGTCAATTCCAAAATATCAAAGTGATTCGGAGTCGAAGCTTATCTGTCCGTTTGTGCATCTTGCTCTTTTGTGTCAACCTACAGGCTGAGATTTTTAAAATATTGTTACGAAAATCCCAAATTCAGTTAAATGTCAGCTAAGTAATTTTCGTAAGAATAAATTCCCTAAAGAAGGGAAAACGAAATGAGCAGTCGCAGGCGCCTCATGCAGCTGCAGGCCAATGAAAACGATTAGTGGAAAAGCAGACAAGTAAAAACCAAATGCACATTCGAAGGCGCGTCATGCAGGCGCAGGCCGATGAAAACGATTAAAGAAAAAACCAGGCTGAGATTAGACCATAACCATAAATTTAGGTATAGTAACATTCTTGTAAAATTGTATATAAATCGAATATATGTGAAAAATGGAGTTAGTCTGGCAAGAACGTAGAAGTTGAGAGTACGGCCAAAATATAGCGTAAACAAATATTCCTACTGTTGTGAAAGACAAAGTAGTAGAATAAAAGAACTTTGAAGTGTATTTCTTTTGATCAAAATATCCACGATCTAGTGATACGGACTGTATCATAGCAAAAGCGAATTTCATAACAATATTTTAATGAAATTTCGTACATCGGCGCAGTGTAATATATTTAACGGCAAGCCATACCCCATTATAATGTTTCACTTTTTTTAAATTGTCGGTCTAAGTTGTCGTCCAGATTACAGTATTTACTGTTCTAAAATTTACCAAAAAAACTGAAGTTAAATACTAAATAATCATAGTATTGCAAGAGAAAACTTAAACCGTGGTAAGTCGCACATTAAAGACAGCTGTTTATACATATTTGAGGAAATATTTCACGCGAGAGAGATTTACTAGTTGCGATGTCGAAAGGCAAGAGTGTAAAATGTTTGTGGATTTCCCTTTGCCACTTACTCTTTTTTTCAAGGACTTGTAAAACGAACCTCTACGTAAGACTATGCTATTTTAAGTCACTAGCGTAGCTCCGGATATTAAAATAAAATACATTTTCGAACTGTACTATTTTTGTGTTTGTTTTACATCATTCTCTGTGAATTGTTGGAAGAGAAAACGTGCAACAACTCGATAAAAATTTCAACAACAAAAAAAAGAATGTAAAAAAATTAAAAGTATACAAAAGACCGCAGTTTGAATAGCAGTCAACTAACAATAAAAAAGACACCAACCCTATAGGTGTAGAAAGTTAGATTTTTGTTATTTTTTTTTTTTTTATAAAATTCTTAGAATGATAAAAACACATCACATACACATAAGAGAGCAAAACGTAAAAAATTTGGGTCAATTGGAAATTTATCGATAAAGCCTGCTCGCCTGCCTTCTCGGTTGCTTTAGTTTTCGCTTTATGGTAATAGGAAAGGAACGCCAAAAAAAAAAAAACAAAAGTAAAAAAAACGAAAAATAAAAAAGTAAAAAACAGAAAGCAGGTTGTGTCAGCTTGCTTGCATAGAATAATGACAGTCCTTTACTTACATACACTTACAAAGTAAGTCCCATATAGGAAGATATAAAATATCTTTTTATAATTTTCTATTTTATTGTTGGTTTTCTCGGAGCTAGTACGCCCTTAACTACAGCTTGTATAGAAAAATAGGTAGGTAGTTAGATAGATAGACGGATAGATGAATAGATGAATAGATAGTAACCCCTCCTACGATGTGCTCTGATTATTTTATCGAGACTATTTATAGAAAATGGAAAAGCAAATGAAAAATACTATTTGAAATTTAAATGTTTACGTAAAGGAAATGTGTAGGAAAAGTGAAGGAAGCGGAATTTAAAAAAAGCAAAGAAAAGAAAAACAAACAAATAAATAAATAAAAAAGTAACAAAACAAAAATGTATCTTAAAGAAATCAA